AGAAAGGTAGGCCACTGACCAGTTTATAAAGATTAACTTTAAAATTCTGTTTTCTTCTTCCCCTCTCCTTCCACCAAGATTACTCTTGCCTGTAAATATAATGGTCAAACTCTAAGCCAGAGTTTGACTTTTATCATTTTAAACTGATAAAAATGCAAAATAAAAAGATTCTGATTCAAGAAAGACCCCTAAAGAATCTATTCCTCATTTCGGTTCACAGAATTTGACAGTACAAATAAAAAATTAGATTCAGGGAGTTTTCTGGTGGTCAAGTGGTTAGGACTCAGTGCTCTTGCTGCCATGAGCCCAGGTTCAATCCCTGGTCAGGAAACTAAGATCCCGAACGCCTCACAGTTTAGCAGCCAAAAAAACTGGATTCAGACATTTAAACCATGTTTTCTACTTTTACAAGTGAAAACAGAAAATTCTTCCTAAGATCAACAGGTTCTATCTATCACTTTTCTTGAAGGGCCACACTGTTGTCTTCTAAGAGAAAAGAACAATGTAATTTTAAAAAGGGACTTTACAAAGTCTACAGTGTAGTGATTCAGCAGGATATAGGACACTTTCCCCATCTTCAGGCACCTTCCTTCCTCCAAAAACATTTCCAAACTGGGGTGTAACTATCCCAAAGTCTGTTCCAAAGCTTCCTGCTGTTCCTAAGTCCCATGGGCAGGGCTCCAAAACTTAGACACTGCTGGTATATTAACTGTCTCCAACTTTTCACAAATGCTATCGCTTCCATGACTTGCTCTGCCTCCCTCCACTCCTATATGTTCTTATTTGCTTTTTCTGGTTCACAGTGGGTTTCTTTTCTTCAGGGAATATTGAAGTTAAAAAGCTTGTGACTCTTTGTTATCAATTTCCCCTCTTCATCTAATAATAGTTAGGACTTTCTTTTTATGCCTCTTTTCAACTAAAAAAATACTGAGCTGTATTTCCCTACTGCCAATTATGTGGGTAGGTGGCTATAATTCTTTTCCTGCATTTGCTTTTTCTCTCTTTGGCCCTTGAGAGTCTCTACTTTTTTTTTTCTATTATTTTTATACTACTACTGGTAGAGTGGATAGCTTCAATTTGTGGATTTCCCTTATTAGATGCAGGCTTAAAATAATAATGAAGAAAAAGAACTAGAAAACTAAACAGTTCTAAACAGATGATCAGATATTCTCCATTCAACACACAAATATATATTGATTTGTGCAAATCAGACAATTCTTTCCTCTTCTTTATGGACTACAAGGGACCGTACCACCAACAGAAGATTAGAAAGGTTAATATCTGCAGAGCATAAAGTAATTTGTATGGCATTTATCACAAGGTAATATTTTTGTCTTAAAAATACCAAAAACTATTATTCATTCACTACTGACCACCTCGTTATTGTTGTTCAGTCAGTAAGTCGTGTCCGATTCTGTGAACCCATGGACTACAAGACACCAGGCCTCCCTGTCCCTCACTATCTCCTGTAGTTTGTTCAAGTTCATATCCACTGAGTTGGTGATGCTATCCAACCATCTCATCCTCTGCCGCCCTCCTTTCCTTTTGCCTTCAATCTTTCAAAACCATCAGGGTCTTTTCCAATGAGTCAGCTGTTTGCATCAAGCGGCCAAAGTATTGGCCAGTAAACTGTAGACCACCTACACAAACCTAATTGTTGGGAATACATAATAAAAATATACATGACCTGCCCTCAAAAAGCCCTTAGAAAACTCAACTTCTCTATGAACTATTTCAGGTTCAGGTAACAGTCTGTGAATATCGACTGATTTTGTAACTAATACTATTGCCCCAAATTTAAATTCAAATAGTAATATCCTTTAAAGAAATTCAAACTATTCCTGCTGTCGAATGGTATTTTGTCTTCAGATTTTCATCACAATTCAAGATTTTAAAGCAGGCTAAAGGACAATCTAATCAAACTCATCAATTCCATCTATGGTTTCGGCGGGGGTGGGGGGGCGGGTGGAATACCCAATCATTTATAGGCAGCTACAAGAGGGGAAAATTCTTCCCTATAAAATATGAAATAACATACAACCACTCCCATCTCTGCTAAGTAAGGAGTCCAGGTCCTACCCACAAACCCAGCTCTCCGGGATGTGGATTCTCCTATTCAGTACAAATAGCACCAACAGATACCAACCAAAGGTTTTACTCATTTACACCGGGGCAATGTATACAACACAGGCCTGGTGGGCTGAAGCCCACGGGGTTGCAAAAAAGTCAAACTCCCACATGTAAAATAGATAGCCAACAGGAACTTGCTGTGTGGCTCAGGAAACTCAAACAAGGACTCTATATCAACCTAGAGGGGTGGGATGGGGAGGGAGATGGGAGGGAGGTTCAGAAAGGATATATGTATACCTATGGCTGATTCATGTTGAGGTTTGACAGAAAACAACAAAATTTTGTAAAGCAATTATCCTTCGATAAAAATTTTTTTTTAAAAAAAGAGTCAGACGACTTAGAGACCCAACAAACAACACTATAAATAAGCTCACTCTACTGAATTAAGACTTCCCTGGAGGCTCAGATGGTAAAGCGTCTGTCTATACAATGCGGGAGACCCAGGTTCGATCCCCAGGTTGGGAAGATCCTCTAGAGAAGGAAATGACAACCCACTCCAGTACTCAGAATATCCCATGGATGGAGGGGTGTGGTAGTCTACAGTCCATGGGGTCGCAAAGAGTCAAACATGTCTGCGCAACCTTTCTTTTTCTTTCACTGAATTCCAATATGCATTTTTCCCAATTAAGATGACTAAGTTCTTAAAGCTGGGGTAAAACCACCTAGAAATTCTTCCTAGGAAAAGCCTAGATTTCAGTATGCCAACTTGGGAGGAAACATTCTGTAGAAATAAAGTGATGATTTCCTAAGTTGATTCCTCTGATCTGTTCTTTAGTTCTATGAGAAGAACAAAAAACTATTAAGTATGGAGTGGTTATTAACTACTAGGATCAGCACTGACAGCTTTAAAAGGATTGTCTGGTTTAATCCTGACATTCTCTGGAGTAGACATCATTATGTCCATTTACAAATGAAGAAACTGAAGCTGAGAGAAGTTTAAAAATTGGCCCAAGTATTTTATTCTTTTTAGTGCTCCTATAATTATGATTCTTTTCCTAATGTCCTTTTCATATAGTTCATTCTTAGTGTATAGAATCATAACTGATTTCTGTATGTTGATTTTGTATCCTGCAACTTGAACTTGTTTATAAATTCTAATAGTTTTTTGTTAGCATCTTAAGGATTTCCCATATATAAAATCATGTCTGCAAAGAGGGATAACTTTACTTCTTCCTTTTCTTATTTCAATCCCTCCTTGTTTCTTTTTCTTGCCTAACTGCTCTGGCTAGGACTGCTAATACTATGTTGAGCAGAAGTGGCAAGAGTGGGCAGCCTTGCCTTGTTCCTCACCACAGTGGGTATCATCTCACATCTGTCAGGATGGCTATGATTTAAAAAAAAAAACAAGTGTTGGTGAGGACCTGGAGAATCTGGAACCTTTGTATACTGTTGGTAGGAAAACAAAATAGGGCAGTGCATAGCTCAGTGGTAAAGAATCCACCTATCAATGCAGGAGACACCAGTTTGATCCCTAGATCGGGAAGATCTCCTGGCAACCCCCTCCAGTATCCCTGCCTGGGAAATCCCATGGACAGAGAGGCCTGGCGGGCTATATTCCACAGGGTTGCAAAAGAGTCAGACACAACTTAGAGACTAAACAACAGCAGAGAGTAGCCTAGAAGTTCACCAAAAAAAAAATTTAAAATAGAACTACCCTAGTGCATGAGACAAGTGCTCGGGCCTGGTGCACTGGGAAGACCCAGAGGGATTGGGTGGAGAGGGAGGTGGGAGGGGGGACCGGGATGGGGAATACATGTAAAAAAAAAAAAAAAAAAAAAAAAGATACACTATGGTTGTGATTAAAAAAAAAAAAAATTGATAAAAAAAAAAAAAAAGAACTACCCTAGGACCCAGCAATCTCCTTCTTTGTATTTATCCAAAAGTATGAAATCAGGATCTCTAAGAATTATTAGCAGTCTCATGTTCACTGAGGCACAATTAACAATAGCCAAGATGTGGAAGTAACCTAAATGTACATGGACATATGGATACAGGCAAAACATGGTACATACATAGAGTGGAACACTACTCGCCTTTGAAAAAGAAAATTCTGCAGTATGTGACAGTATGAATGAAACTTGAGGACATTATGCTAACTGAAACAAGCCAGTTACAGAAAGACAAATGATTCCACTTATATGAGGTATCCACTTACACGAGGTGTCTAAAATACTCAAAGTCACAGAAATAAAGAATGGAATGGGGCTTGCTAGCAGCTGCAAGAAGAGCAATGGGAAGTTACTAGTTACTTAAAGTTTCAGTTATGCAAAATGAATAAGCTCTTGAGATTTGCTGCACAACACTACCTACAGTCGACAGCACTCACCGTACTCTTAAAATTTTACCAACAGGGTAGATCTCATGCTAAGTGTTTTCACTACTATAAAATTTTTCAAATGTGTTTAACTGGTCCAAGGACTCAAATCCATATCTAAACGACACTCAAATCTGTGCTCCGACTTAACCATATAAACTGCCTTGGAAGAGATTAAAAAGTACTGACAGCGTTCTCTCCCAGCGCTGTGCGACGCTGGGGAATTCGCTTAACAGCTCTGGGCTTGTTTCCTCACCATCAAGATGAGTCTCAGCCCAAAGGCACGCAGCGTTGCCACCACAAACAGGTCGGTTTGCAGCCAACCCCGCTAGTGGACCTCCCAATAGCATCAGCTGGACCAAGCAGGGTCCTGGCTGTGCCCAGCGCCGGCGCCGGACCACCGAGCCTCAGTCCCCGCAGGCGCAAAGATGAGAAACGCCGCAGAAAAAAGGAACAAAGCCTGGCCCCCTGGGTCACCGTGACCCAAGAGAAAGGCGTCAGTGCGACCAGCCCACGGCCTCGTTTCCTAGGCAGCTGGACCAAGAACTGGGCTCACCTCCGGCCAGATTCCCGGGCTGGCACCTCCCCTTCACTCTGCGCCTCAGCCGCCATCTTAGTCAGCAAACTTCTTTCACCGCCCCCAACCCTGGCCCCGCCCTCATGCCTTTGGATTGGCTAAAGTGTTACCCCCTTTTTTATACGATTGGATAACTTGCCCGCCCCTCCCCCTCAGCCGGAATAGCTTCATGATATTATTGGTCTATTCAAATAACTAACCGTCATTAGTGGCCCCCTGTCGTGGCGGAAAAGAAAGGGGTGAGGGGCCAAAGAGGGGGAGGTGGGAGATCCAGCCCCGTGGCCTGCGGGGAGTTGTAGTTTATTATTTTGATTAACCCTTCGGATTCCATCGACTCTTAGGTTCAAGTCAGAAATACACAGCCTACGCTCAAATTTTGTCCTGATGCGTTAAGTCTCAGAATTACAGAATTGTCGAACTTGAAAGTGACTTCAAGAGTCACTCTCTGAAATGGCAAGATTACTTTTCTGTCCTGATACAGAGGTACAGAGTGGCAGCCAAGAAGTACTTACTAAATTTGTTACACAGCCTGCTTTCTTCAGACAGCATACCAGTGGGTCACTTCTTCATTCCACCCGCTCCCTTCTGGCTTCCCAGGGAAGCCACAGTTTGCCTCTCTGATCTGAATCATGGAGCCAAAACCTGCATAATTTTGTCCCTGGCTGAGCTTTAATCCTCAAAGAGAGAAAGAACCATAATTATGCTTTCCCTCCCTGCCTCACAGGCTTCTGGTGAGGATTAACTGAGGCAATAGATGCTAGAACATTGTAAACTTAAAGCATTAACTTCTTTCTCGGTGTTATTTTCCTCTGTTGGGTTTTTCTATGGATATTTGTTCTGACAGCCTTTCACCCAAGGATCACCCGGCACTCTCCTTTTCTTTCACTAAGTTCTATCCACATTTCAGTTTCTCAAAAGCCTTTGCTCTGTTGCTTTTCCTGGGTGGCCTGCCTTATTATTTTTCACATCTCAGTTTAAAAGTCACTGGTTCAGGGAATTTCCTGGCAGTCTAGTGGTTAGGACTCTGCATATCCACTGTGGGGGGCCTGGTTTGATCTCTGGTTAGGGAACTAAGATCCCCACAAGCTATGTGGTGCAGCCAAAATAAACAAATAAATAAGTCACTGATTCAGATGCCTTCCATGGCCCCCACTGAATAAATCAGTTCCCCTACTAAATTTTCACATAGCACTTGAACTCTTCCTTCATAGCTTTCACCACAACTTATATAGTTTATGTGACCATTCATTTCACGTGAGGGTCCCCAACTAGACTTCCTGCCACACATGAGTAGAGGCTACATCTATTTTGCTCCCCGTGGCATCTGGCACATAGTGGCCTTTTGGTAAACATTTTTTGGACAAATGCATAAGCAAACCCTCAGACTCTGTTATCCAAACCAAAAATTGAATCATGTGTTCTAATAGATTATTTCAATTGATGAATTTGTAAGATGGGTAAAAGTGTCTAAATAAAATTGCATTTAGTTTTATGTTGAACAAATTGTCCTTATTGTGCAAATGCATGAAAAGAAAGGCAAAATTCAACAAACAGTGAAACTTTTCACTGAACCCCAGACAGCCTTGAAAAATCCAGGTTGTATAATTTATGCCTATACAAAGAAGGGAATCCAAGGCTCAAATCTGCCATTTCCTTGAAGTGTGAACAGGTTTTTTAGGTTTTTTTTCTGGTACCATGACACCCAAGACATCAATTAATTGACTGAATTAAATTGATGCTTTCACACAAATGAAATGTTCAAAACTTTAAACTGTTACCACTACAACTAGAAGACCATACAACTGTATTTCTGGTTCATCTGTTTTGATGATTTTTTTTTTACACAATGTCCGTAATATTCGGGGAACTACAGCACTATAATTTATAATTAGGCTGTAAAGTTAGTGAGCCTAGTTTCAATTTTTGGCTCCATCACGTCACGCTGTGTGACCCCAGACAAGTTACTTGATTTTCTGATTCTGTTTCCTTCTCTGTAAAGTGAGGACAAGGACAATAATAATTCTCAGAGGGGTATTTTGAAGATTAAATGAGATCATCTCTGAAGAGCTGCTTCACAGCAGAGGGCCTAGCACACACTAGGTCTAGATAAATGTTCAAGGTGAGACGGTAAGTATTAAGAATGCTAAACTCCAGGGGAATTTCCTGGTGGTCCAGTAGTTAAGATTCTACCCTTTCACTTCAGGGGGCATGGGTTCAATTCCTGGTCAGGGAACTAAGATCCGGCATGCTGCATCATACGGCCAAAAAAAAAAATAGCTAAACTCCCTTCTCAGATAGCCTTTCTATCTTCATTACTGTGTGATAAGGACCATACATTGCACTTGTAGTTACAGTTTAATCGGTTACCCTGAAAAAGGGAGGGTTCCTCCTCAAAACCAACTGTTATTCTGTGACTTCTGATTAAAAGCAAGTATCATTGCTGACTGAGTGCTGTAAAAGTAGCCCGCAGCTGACAAGCATGCACACCCTGTTTCTGCAAGGATGTCACGGCTCCCCTGAAATCATCCTTACCCTGTTGAGTTATTGATTGTCAGCGTGATGATAAGCACAGCTGTACACCATGCATTCGTGAAAGTTCAGAAAGTCATCTTGTTTCTAACTGCTTGGCTGAACAAAAGGTCACAGAAAAGTAGCCCCAGCCCTCAAGGAGATTACAGTAAACTCAGGGAGACAAATGAACACAGGAGTCACATACAACAGAATACAGTTTAGAATTATGAAGGTCTAAATATCCAAGTAGAGAACAGATTGGCAGGAATTCAGAAATGTGGAGAAAGGAAGAAGACCAGGGATCTCAAGGATGGTTGAAGAGCAGAGGCGTGGACTTGAGTTCACCGCAAATGTGATTGCAAATCCATCTACCTATCCAACAGATGTGGAGTTTGAAGGCAGAGGGGGTATTTGAATCATCTTTGTGTTTCCAGGCCCTCGCCCCAAAGGAAGGGGGAGAAAAAGGAGGAGGAAATACAGGAGGGAAGTAAAAGAAGGAACAAGGTGGAAGAGAAAGAAGAGGAGGATCTGCCCATGACAGCAGTTCCAACATTGTCCTTTCCACTCCCACCCTCCAACAAAGCAAGTGACTTGGAATTCCCAGATGCAACTTTCTGTTTTCCACTTTTGCTCCTGCTGTTCATTCTCCTTGAATTAAAGCAGGACATTTTGATGCCTAGGTCAAAATATAAAAATACCATGTGTACAATAAGCTCTTCTGAGTCTTGCATCAATATTGAGCCTGGTTAGGGATGGGATGAGGCTGCTTATTGAACATTTGAAACAAAAAAAAGAAAAGGAAAAAGGTCTAAAAAATGTAATGATTAGTTCTCTTGTCAAACAGGCCAGCAACTTCACCAAAATATCATGTACTCATCTGGAATACCCATTCTCTCCTCCTTTCCTTGCCAACTAACTTGTATTTGTTATGATAAAGTCTTTGAAATCAACATTTTAATGGCTTTTTAATCACCTGTTCATATTTAGTTCTTTTATTTTTATATTGTTTAATAATACAAGTAATACATGAAGACATATTCCTTGTTTAAAAAATACAAATAATTCTTGTCCTTCCTTTAAGAAACCCCTATTTTTTGTTTGATGTGTGTTCATTCAGATCTTTTTCTATGCAGTACGTTTATTCAACAAATATTTATTGAGTGCCTACAACATGCCAGCCACTGTTCTAGGCCTGAAAATACAGGATAACAAAACATCACTCTCATGATTTCTCATTCTACTGGTAACACATACATACACAGAGAAATACATAATTTTAAGTTTTAGATAAATGGTGAAATGCTGTACATATTGTACTTAGACTTGCATCTTAGAGATTTTTCCATGTCAGAACACCAAGATCTGCCATAATATTGTCACACCTTGAAGCTTGTGGGATCCTAGTTCCTGGACCAGGAATCAAACCCACACCCTCTAAAGTAAAAGCCTGGAGTCCTAACCTCTGGACCAGGGAATTCCCTGCCATTAATCTTTTGAAATGCTATGTAGTATTCCATCTTTCAGATGTTCCCTGGTTTATTTAAACCATCCCCTGCAGATGTACATTCAGATTTATGTCAATCTGGATTGCAAGCTCTGGAAACTAACTTTGGCTAACATAACAGAAACTGTATTCACTGGAATGAAACTAGGTTGAAGCTGCAAGAAGGAAGGGGGCCTAAGGAACAGGAAACCCAGCTAAGGTCAGTCCATTTAGTGTCACTTGACTCTCAGCAGTCACCCCTCTGCTGATTTCTCACCTGTCCATGGGTCTCCAAGTCACCCCCCGGGAGAGGCAGAGTCATCAGAAGAACATCCAGTTGACTTAGCCAAGGTCATTTGCCTCTACCCTTCTTCCCTGGGGGAGAGCTCTGTCTCCGAACAAAGCTCATCCACTGGGGGATCACTGGCAAAAACAGGGAAAAATTAAAGGACAAATGTGTGTTACAAATCATTCCCAATAGTTTACTTCCTGGGGCACATAGTTACTCTGGGCTGGGGCAAAGCTTCACCCTTCAGTCTCCTTCAGACACACTAAAGACTAACATCTGCATATTTCACAGGTTGGAAAAAAAAAAAACTGTCCAGTTTTGCTATGGAATCCTCTTCAAAACTGGCCACAGGGCCAGAAATCCAGGGAGGGAACTCAGTGAGGGGAAGGAGAGGAACCAGTTCTATGCAGCTAAAAACAAACAATTTCGGGGCTGGAACCCCAGAGTGAGAGTTCTGAGGGTCATTTTCCCCAGCCAGGACCACAAGGTCAGAAGCAAGAGGCTGGCAGAGAGGAGGACTGGAAGCTCACAGTCCTGAAGCATTACTCACTGGGAGTCACCATCTGGTGCTACAGTGTTGAATAAGCCATGGATCCTACACTCCAAAAGCTCAGACTGTAGCTGGAAGGCAAGGCGGCCAGGCTGTCTGGGCCACAGCAGAGGCAAAGACCAAAGTCTCTGAAAGCCTGAAAGCACCACAAGCAGCCAGGCTTGGCGTGGTGCGGAGTTGAGGGATGTGGCAGTGGTCCTCA